ATCAGACTATTAACAGGCTAGATTCCACCCCTTATTTCTCCATGAGCAAAGGGCTTGAATAGACTTTTCTTTCTTTTTTCTTATGGTTTCAGTACTTTTGAGTTTCCTCTAGGGTCCCTGAGTGGTTTGAACAGTTAAGTACACAACTGATAACCAAAAAATTGGTAGATTGAGACCACCAAAGTAGCTCAGAGGTAATGCTTTAGAAAGGTTTCAACTTTTAAACTGCTAGGGAGTAGTTCTACTCTGCACACATGGGGTCATTGAGAGTTGGAACCCACTCGGTGGAAAGTGGTTGCTTTGGGTTTGGAGATAGTTCTGGAGAATCACTCTCTTTTTAACAATAAAGGAAGGCTTAAACAATAATAACAGGAAAAAAGTACTGGCTTTATTCATAACCATTAATGAATGAAGATTATTTTCCCCCAGATAAATGCAAAGGAAAGTTGGGCAGTAAACAAAGCAAAGATCCACTCTCACTGAATAGATTCTGACCCATAGGGGCCTATGTAGATTTCTACGGCTGTAACTTTTTAAAAACAGTATTATTGGTACTTCATTCATATATCATACAATTCAGTAGTTCAATCATATCAAGAAGAGCTGTATAATCATTATTACAATCAATTTTAGAGCATTGTCTTCTATGTACTCATTATTAGTAGTGTATTTTTTGGCTGTATATATTTTAATTAATTAATTTTTAATTGGCCTATAATTCACATATCATAAAAAATCACACTAAGAAAAATTGTGCAATCATCATCACAATCAATTTTAGAACATTTTCTTCTTTCTCAGACTCATTCTTGTTAGCCTCCCATTTCCCTCCAGCCTCCCCGACCATCTCCATAGGTAATTAGTAATCCAGTTACTGACCCTATAGATTTACCTATCCTGGATTACATACACTGAAGAAATATACAAAACAAAATCAAGAAACAAACAAAAAAACTAACCACAATGGCAAAATAAAACAGAAAGAAACTCAATTGAAAGAAAGCATGAAATATTGAAAAGTAGAACAAATGTAAAATGGGCCAAAAGGGAGATCAAATGATCAGGTGTTACATTTTAAACTAACTGAATCTGCCACAATAGGCTTTACAATGCTTTCTGCCTGAGAGCAAGGCTATTCACATCTCTGGACTATGGTCAGAGGTTTAATCTTCATGGGGACCCAGAAAATTGATTTGGGGCTTTCACTGTCATTCTTAGCCTTCTGCAAACCAGGAGTTCAGAATTTAGGCTCTGATACAGTTCCCTCCTCTGAATTTGGATTTTATCATTTACAATCCTTGAATCACACAGGCTTCTTCTATGTATATTTAGTTGATGCCTCACTTAGATGGCTGCTTATTTTGAGACAAGCCTTTAAGATCCCAAACACTATTCCTTCTGATATCTGGCACCATCTGATTGCTTCACCAGACTTTACTATAACACCCATATCTTCAGTGATCTCTTCATGAGATTAAGTAGGACCATGTCAAAAGAACTAATTGTTGTTAGATTAGGCCTACGATTAAATGTTAGTGCAAAGTCCATTCATATAGCTATGGTTTATATGTGTCCCTAGTTCATTCTAGAGACAGTATTATCATTTTATTGGCAAATATTTATAAATCATACTCATGAGGAATAAGGTAATTATTAATTGTATCAGTAGTTCAGCCAGTAGTATAAAATTTAGAACACTGTTGAGAAAAGGAAATCAAGCCTGGTTAGGCAGCTTTTTAGAACACAATACATAAATTGTTTATTTGTACAGCTTAAGTGACTGGATACTATTTACACAAATATGGAGGGATAGGGATACGGCAAAACTTTCAATAACACTCATTCAAAAAAGCCAGAACCATGCCTGCTCTCCTGACACTTGTGAATAGACATTTCACCCAAAAATGATATCCCCATGGCCACCAAACACATAGAAAGATGCTTAGCATCACTAGTTATCAGAGAGATGTAAATCAATACCATAATGAAATTTTTTTTATTTAATTTCCACTAGGATGGCTAAGATCAAAAAAGAAACAGAAAACTTTAAATGAGAATGTAGGGAAACTGGAATCCTTACCGACTGCTGGTGGGAATACAAAATGGTACAGCCATTGTGGAAAACAGTATTCGGGTTCCTTGAAAAATTAAAAGTGGAATTACCATATTACCTAGAAATCTATTCTTAGGTATAGACCCAAAAGACTTGAAATCAGAAACTCAAAAAGAGAATTGTACACCAATGGCTATTGCAGCAGTATTCA